TTCAAAAAGAACAGATGTTTGAGCTTCGACCCACCAAAGATTAAGAGATATTAAAGGCTTTCTTTATAATGAAAGAGGGAGAGAACAGAGAAATATCAGAGGAAGATAAGTGATTTCGATGAGAAATCAAATTTTTCAACGTAGAAGTCATTAAATACCCTTCAAACCCGCGTAATTTCGCTTAGGTGGGTGGGCTCTCGCTTGAGTAAGAACACCTCGCTTGAGTAAGCTCATCAGACAATGGTTTTTCTGATATTCTTACTTGAGCAAGAGATATTTTTGCCTGAGCGAGGATGAATCTAGATAGTTTCAAATTTCTCTGCGACACCTCGCCTGAGCGAGCTCCATCACACTTGGGTGAGCTGTTTCCCGCCTGGGCAAACTTTTCTTCTCGCCTGAGTGAAAGGACAGTTGAGATGATCCAATCCCTTCTCGCTTGAGCGAGATTGTTCCAGAATACCCCATACTTGAGCGAGGTATATCTCGCTTGAGTGAGAAATATTACACCAAAATTCTTCTAGAAATTCATTATACTATCTTCTAAGTGCACTATAATACTACTTAATATTGAACAAAACATAATTTACCAAAAGATGAAAAGAGGATGTTACATTTAGGTCTTTTGAAATAAAGATCAACAGGGCCCTTAGAAGTACTCTCCTCTATCCACTAGCATTATTAGATGCCATTTCTCTAAACCCTTCATCAAGAGTACGTTCTTTATCACTATCATCAAATTCCTCAAGATCATTGCGCATCCGTTGAAATGCTTCACTATCTTGCTTCTTCTTATCTTTCAAATATCCTGACAATTCTTTTTTGACCTCTTTTGGACATTTGGTGCAAGCTGCAACATTACCCTTTTTTTCCCCATCAAATGTTCTTTGGCTTGGGTAATTCCACCTTTCATGAACTTACTATAAAAATTGCAAACATAGCAATTAGTGTCATTTCCTTGTGCTAGATGGCAATATTTCCACCCAAGATCAATCCTAGCACTAACTTTTGAAGGATTTGAAGATTTCACTTGTCATACTATGAAAAAAAAAAGAGGAGAAAATTATAGCAGTGGTTGTTGTCTATAGTGCTTGCCGAAGACAACAATGCACATTGGAGACTCGTTGGGGGCCATAGTGGTTGTTGCAGATAATGGCTGAAAGAGATGCATTGCTCAGGGGGTGTGAAATAAGTGTCTTTGTTATATTATTTTTTGTATTCATAAATAAAGAAACTGAATAAAAGGAAGAGCGCCAAAATCAATAATACTCACCAGAGACTCGCCAGAGGCAATAATAGTTGCTAGAGATAAAAGACAGGCAGCACACACTAAGTGGGTAGTAAGAAATGGGCTGAAATATATGCTTTATTTTTAGTTTAGCAAATAGAGTAGTTAAAAGATCGAAAGAGACATTTTTCCTTTTCAGAAGTAGGTAAGAAGTGACGAATTAAAAAAAAATCTTCAAAACTAGTCACGTGGGGGTAAGAAGTGACTATTTAGTTATGTTATTAAACAAAAAAAGAAAAAAAAATGTTCATAAATTTGTCTAATCTGTTGTTTCTACTTTATTTATTTTTTTTGCTGCATGAATAGCGTCTGCCATTTCAAAAATGGCAAAACTCGCAAAGCAATAGCTTTTGCATAGCGGCAAGCCAAAATTCCACTATGTAAAAATGCTATAGCGGGGCAATAACTACTATTTGACAACACTGCACTCAAGTATTTTTCTTTTTCTCATCTTGATTTTTTTTTCACCATTGTTGGTTTTGATTTGGATTTGGATTTAGATTCTCAATGTGGCTATGTGATTTAACATTATGTATGAGTTTAAATGTTGTGTATTTGAGTGTGCTAACAAAAGCAAATATAAAGGTTCGAATTAGAACTCTAAAGAGGATAAGATTTCTTTCAAGAATCCTTACTATATTTAAATGCTCTGTCTGTCACCCTAGCTATAAGTTGTAATTGATATGATTTTATCAATTGGACATAATCTTTTTTAGTTTTAGTTGTTAGACTTGACCATTAAATTTCAGTCGTCAGCTCAATTTAGTTTAATTGAAATCATAAGAAAAATGGAATTGTGTGCTATTAGTAATTGGGTTTTTTGAAGTTTTTCCATTTGTACGAGTTTTTTTTTTATTGTTGACATCCTTTAATTCTTGCAATATTACTAGATATGTTGTTAACATACAACTGAATTTTGTATGCCAAAATGTAATTACCATTTCTTAGATGAGTTAGTAATAACAATATACCATTAGTTATGTGTGTTAGAATGAGTATAAATATTTTTTTATTCATTAATTTGTTCAACATTAACTACAGTAGAAAGACTTGTATATGTTGTAGCTTTTCTTTGTCTGTTTGTAAAGTCATCTATATATTGACAAGAAAAATTGCTAGGGGTTTCCTCGGCCTTATAGGGTACTACTGAAAATTTGTCTAGAATTATAGGAAGCTTGCCAAACCATTAACTAATTTGACAAGAAAAAGGAGTTCAAGTGGAACTTTGTGGGACAAAAGCCTTTGAACTTTTGAAGAACAAAATTACTTCAGTCTCAATTTTGGCCCTCCCTAATTTTGAACAAGAATTTGTTTATCGAAAGCAATGCTGCTAGAGATGGGTTGGGAGCTGTTCTTAGCCAAAAAAGGAGACCTATTTCTCTTTTTTTAGTAAAGCTTTAGGGAAGAGAAACTTGGCCAAATTTGTCTATGAAAAAGAGTTTATGATAATAGTTTTATATATACAACATTGGAGACCTTATCTTCTTGGAAGAAAGTTCACTATTTGTACTAATTAAAAGAGTTGAAGAGAGTTATTATTACAAAGGATTACTACTGAGGATCAACAAAACTGAGATGCCAAGCTTCTTGGTTATCATTTTGATATTGTTTATGAACTAGGTTTGGAGAATAAAGGTGCAGATGCCTTGTTTAGGATGCATGGGGAGGAGAAATTTTATAGCATGATACATTTATTAGAATAAAAAAATTGGGACTATAGTGGTTGCTAAAGTACATCGTGACAGCAAGATGTTAAAAATTATAGAAGATATTGTTAAAGGGGGATAGAATGCATTATGAGTACTATAACATCCTTATTTTATTTCAACATAATAAGAATATAATTCGAAATAATATGAAAATTGTAGTCAAATTTATTATTGGTTGAATATATCAAATGAAATCATTATACATTTTGTGATTTTGCTCAACGTACAAGGACTTTGAATGATAAAGCAATAATAGTGAAACAAAATTTTAAGAGAAAACATTAAAAGATATGAACATACATTGTTCTCTTAATATTCAAAATAATAACATTTACACAATATTCATTAAAATATATTAAAGTACATTAGAACTCTTTTCATACATTTATAAGATAAAAAAATATTATAAGTCCTAATGAGCAGCCTGTCCACTAAAAGACTAAATAGACACTAGTCATCCCCGTGTCATCCCTCTATCATCGCTATATCATTGAAGTCAAGGTCATCATCCGATTCGAGATATAAGTCACCACGTTCTGCAGTAACTTGGGTACCCGTAATCCGCTCAAATTTTCATCGAGATGGTCTTCTAAAATGATCGTGGTTATGGTATGTAAACAGGTATGTCAGTGCTGCTGGAGTCATCATAGTGCCAGGAAATATATATACACAGAGGGTATGATGGATTCTACTTATAGGAAAATCAAAAGGAATATTACAATCAAATTTCATTTCCATTATAATAACATCATTAGGTATATTATTTACATATACAACAATTCTAAAGAAACAAAGTCGCTGATACTCATTAAATACATAATTTAACCTATTAGTTACAGAACTATCTACTAATTTAATTCTCTCGATGGGTGCTGTCATCTTGGTTCCCTGAAATGTTTATGTAAGGATGAGTTTCTAATTTTATTACTAAGCATACATTCACAAATAATTCAATGATACAGATAAAGAAATCATGCAAGCATCATATAAAAAAATCATTAACCATATAATTTATTCAACTTAGGTCCATTACTACTAACACTTTCAGTTCTCAATTTCATTACCCTTGGGATCCCTTGAGGTCTTCCTTAGCATAAATAGTTGTTGTATAGCCGTAGCTACACGGATACAATGTGTGCAAACTTGGCCCTTTTTAGTAAAAGTATGGTCATGAGTATTAGTTAGGAAATAAGTGCGAGGCCTGTGGTGCTCCTACTCTCATTTGTCTTGTACAATTCAAGAGAAGCATCCACCACCCTCATTTTCCTAGACTTCTCAGTCTTCTCCATCTTCCACACTCCTAGTGTACCTCTGAACTATCTATACCCGTCCTCATCATATTCCTTTCTCATTTCATTTCCCTTTCCATGTTTCTATCTCATCTTTCTATATTTTATTCTAGTTCATTATTACATCATACATCACTAAATCATTGCCGAGAGTTAGTTCTCCCAGACTCAATCCACCATATACATGCACATATTCAAAATAAAATCACACCCATCATTCATCACCACAAAAACATGCTTCAAACATAACAAAAACATATTATCATCCAGCACATACTCAAGTCAAACATTTTATCACAGTATTTTCATAAACATAAACACAACAGTTTTAGTAATAAGATAGAGCTCTTCTTACCTTAGAAAACTAGTTTTGGTGATGAAAAAACAAGAGAAGGTTGGTTCACGGACCAAGGGAGTTCTACACCTTATAGAGAAGAGATCCTTTGAGAAAATAGGAAATAAAGAAGATAGAAGTAAAAATGAGAGGTTTGAACTCTAAGATAATCATAAAAAATTTTGTATAGTTAAAGTTTGAGCTCGAATTCGGTGAAGTTTCAGAGTTTCTAAGACTTTTATCTGTGATATGGAAGAGAAAGTTCAGAGAAAATGATAGAAAGACGTGAGTTGCGAAAGTAAAATGAATTTTCATGTTGAAAATCTCTTAAATACTCTTCACCCGCGCTTTCTCGCTTGAGCGAGGAACAACTTGCTTGAGCGATGGGCCTTTCACCTGAGCAAGGTATGCAGACAATGGTTTTCTTAACGTTTTTTTAATATGCTTGCTTGAGCGAGCTCCATCTCGCCTGAGCAAGATAGCGTCTAAAGAAGGCGATATTTCTCTTGTGAGTCCTCGCCTAAATGATACAGCTCGCCTGAGTGAGATCTTTATCTCGCCTGAGCGAGGTTATAATTGAACTAATTCTATCCTATCTTGCTTGAGCGAGATTGCTCTGAAATAAGATATTTCTGAGCGCTCAGTCTTGCTTGAGCAAGATCTCTCTCGCTTGAGCGAGATTCCTTGTGCCAACCCCTTCCTAATACTCTTCAAAATACACTCCTAACACATCTTAATGCTATTTAATATCAAACTAAATATAATTTTCTAAATAATGAAAAGAGGGTGTTACAAGTACAGCTACAAGAATAATGTATTGTATTACAAGAACAGACTAGTTATTTATGCTACTTCCTCTTGGATTCCAATCTCGCTACATGAGTTTTATACAACACCACAAGAAGAGCATTCAGGTTTTTATCACACTTATCGACGACTAGCTACAAATTTGTTTTGGTAGGGCATGAAAGACAGGGCCCAACAAATTGCACGTGCATGTGATACATGCCAAAGACAAAAATACATGGCCACTTCCCCTTGGGGTTTGCTGCAACCTCTTAATATTCTTGAACAAATATGGGAAAAAATTTCAAAGGATTTCATCATAGGGTTACCCAAGTCCAAGGGGTATGAAACTATATTTGTTATGGTCCATAGGTTATCAAAATATAGCCATTTTATTCTTCTAAAACATCCTTTTACGGCTAAGTCCCTCATTAAAGTGTTTATTAAGTAAATAGTTCGTTTACATGGTATCTCAGCATCCATCATAAGTGATAGAGATCCTATTTTTGTGAGTATTTTCTGGAAATAGGTGTTCAAGTTTCAGGGAACGTAGTTAAAAATGAGCACTTCTTACCATTCTCAAACATATGGTCCAATTGAGGTGGTTAAACAATGTTTGGAGACTTTTTTATAGTGTTTTGTTTTGATCAATTGCAAACTGAAGTTCATTTGATACCTTGGGCTGAGTATTGGTGTAATACAAATTTCCATGTGTCTACGTGAACTACTTCATTTAAAGTGGCATATAGGAGAGCTCCTTTAGTAATCACTGATGAATCCACAATTTATTAGATTTTTACTTATCTTTTTAGTGTTCTTTAATAGAAAAAATAGATTTAGGAAGTGTAAATAACTTAAAAACATCATTTTGGTCAAATTTCATAGGTTTCTTAATTTTTGGTTAATTTACATTAATTTACATAGATATAATTTGCAATTTTGATGATTTAAATAATTGTGCAGGAATTTTTAGACTCATTACATGGATTTTAGCCTTTGAGAAATTTTGAGTTGAAAGTGACCACTTTCAGAAGTGATAGTGGACACTACAGCAAGCTAGATCCAAAGGGCAGGCCAGAGTAACCACTTTCAGAAGCAATAATGATCACTTCAGAGCCAAAGGAAGCACCCAGACCTGCGCGTGTTTACTCTCGGAAACGATAGTAAACACTCCAGAGAGCCCCAGAGTTCAGGACCCTGCGCGTGTTTACTCTTGTGAACGATAGTAATCACTATGCTCGCACGTGTTTACTCTTGTAAACGATAGTAATCACTATGCTCGAGAGTGTTCACTGTCGTGAACGAGAATAACTACTCTGAAGGCGTAAACTTTTCTATATATGAATTTTTACCATTTAGGGTAAAAAAAGGAGGAGAGCTTTTACACATTTTAAGATTGCTTACCAATTTAGGAACACTTGGAGAGCCTAAGGTGGCCTTGGGTGACAGCCAAGGGTCCAACCTAGGGTTTGATTTCCATTTTCTCCTTACTTCTCTTTGATTTTTGTATTGATGTTATTGATTTCTCTTTACTTTCATTTTGTAATTGTGAGACCCATCCTCATGGAGGGTTAATTTTCTTGTAATCTCTAGTGAGTTCATATGGATTCTTGAATTCTTAGGTTTTTGAATGTTAATGCAAATCTTTTTCTTTCATGAATTTCTTCCTCCCAAACTCTTGAATTGAATTAATGGTTGAATGAAGGGAGCATTGTGTAATGAACCCTAATTCATTTTAAGGAAATTCTAAATTTGAATTGCTTAATTCTTGTTTAATTCCAAGATTGCGTAATCAAGGAATGAGAGATTGGAGTTCATTGGATTGCTTAATTCATATGAAAACATAAGATTGATTTTCGCTTGTTAAATCAACCTAATTCTGGGAGGAGAGGAAGAGTATTAAATCTTGAGAGGAATATGGATAGAGTTTATATGAATGAACTAGGGGTTACTACATTTTATCGATTGAACTTTGTAATTTAATTTTTTGCTTAAGTTGATTGAACTTGAAATCACAAAACCCCTTTTTTTACTTGCTTTCTAAATACATTGCACACTACATGTTTGATATTTGGTCACTTGTCTAATGATTTATGGGAGACGACCTAGGCTTGCATCCTAGACTATATAAATTTTTCTGCATATTTTGATGAAGGTTGACGACAAATCTTTTTGCAAATGAGAAAATATTTCATCATCAATCACTCGGTTCTTACCAACAAAAACTAGAGTGGAGGCAATCCAAAGAGAGTTGATTGAGTGAGATGAAGCTTTGAAGCAACTTAAAGAACATCTAAAACATGCTTAAGAAAAAATGAAAGAACAAGCTGATGCAAAGAGGACTGAAAGAAGCTTTGTTGTTAGGGAATGAGTTTTCTTAAAGCTATAACCTCATAGGTTACAAACTATTTTTACAAAGATATGTCCTAAGTTGGCTCCTCTCTAGTACATCCCTTTCCAAATTGTTGATCGAAAGTGGTCTACAAACTTAATTTGCCTCCTGAAGTCGGTATTCACCTTGTTTGCCAGGTGTCTCTTCTTAAGGAGACAGTGGGAAATTATCAAGTAGAAACCACTCTCCCTGCTAGTTTGGAAGTTGAAACTTTTGTTGTTGTTTTTGCTGCAGTTTTGGCCTATAGAGTGGCGACTAAGAAGGAAGAAAACTTGCCACAAGTTCTTATTTAGTTAGCAAGACAAACAAGTTGAAGAAGCTATATGAAAAGAGGAGTTCTACATTATAAGTCAGTTCCTTGATTTTAGTCTTGAGGATAAGACTGTTTCTTAAGATGAGGGTAGTGTTGGAGATCCAATAGAGCCAATGGGCCCAAGTACTAATTTGGTGCAACAACAATTGAATAGGCCAACTGTTTGGAGGTATATGTGAGAAGGAATAAGAAGAATAAGGATTGATGATGTGGCAAGGGGTGTAGAGTGTTTGATATGGGCCCAAGGTAGTTTTGAGTGATTTTCTATTATATTGGGATGAAGTGAAGAAAGAGTGTGTCAAGAAAAAAATTATGAAATTTGTTAGAAATAAAGATTTATAACTCTTTGTTTAGGAGCCTTGCTCTATGGATAGAAAGATCATTTATATATTTTACTTTTGATCATTCAATAAAACAAATAGCATTTCTCTTTCAAATATTTTTTGCAATTGTTTCTTTATTCCTAAACAATTTTGCATCATAATCCTAAACAACTAAGCTACTAATATATTTATGATAAATTCCCAATCCATGCAAAATATGATATGATGCTAAAATTCTAATACTCGTACTTTCATCAATTGCTTTTACCTTAGCATATAACCTGAGTGTTTAGTAAATAGCAAGTCATAAAACAAATGAATGCATAACCACAATGCGGTCAATGCTAGTGTCAGCCTCTGCCCTATTTGTTTGCAACTGAGTGAGAGCCATGATAGAGGACTTTGATGCTAATTGATAGAAAACTTGAGAGAACCACACCTCAAAAACTAGTCATTGTAATTAGAGAGTCTAAGGCCATATAAATTTGACATTAGAAGCTTATACTTCCAATGTGAGACTAAAGTATCATACCTTACAATTGTATCTAAACACTTGGTTACGGAACATCCAGCAGCACTCAACTAAATGTAAAACCTTCATTCATTAATGAAGTTTGCATCATAATCTCTCATTTTATTCTTCTCATTTTTAAACATTTCCAAATATAGGGAATGCTTACTTAAAATGAAAAGTATTATCTTGATGCACTAAATTTAAATTTAATAATTAATTTTTTAAGTGGTAATAATAATAACAATCATAATTACAAGTTATTAGTGGCACTAAGCATTATAGAATAGATATGTAAATAAGAGTACCAATAACTCCCATGCATTAATATAAAACATGATAAAGATATTGTTCCATGCCTGCACTTTTACTTTGTAATTTAAATAAATTTCAAGTTTTTCATTTTTGACAAACTCATGTTGTGCATTGCCTGGTTTAGGTACCCATTTGGAAGAAGGATGACGAAAAAGTGGCAAGTCTAAATGCTGCAACGTCGGTAAAAGAAGTTCTTCAAAGATCTGGGAGTAAAGTTAAACTTGATGACTCAGATCAAAGAACCCCTGGAGGGAAATTCAATTTCTGGGAAATGAAGGTTTGGCATTAAAGTTTGATGAAAATTTGATTTCGAGGATCAATAATGTTCATTGCTTCTGCTCTTGCCACAGGCGCTTATTGTGTTTTAAGTATCTGATCATGAGCCTGTCTGTTTGAACTTTTCTCATGTAGAATCAATTTTATTTTGAAAAGAAATTACTTTTGAAAATTTATAGTATCTTTAAGATTTTGAGGAAAAAACAGAATTAGAAAAAAAAAAGAATATATGTGATTATTTTGAGAAACTGTTTTGAGTAGCTTCTGAAAAAAGGTTGTAATTTTCAAAAATAAAAATTATTTTTTATAATTGTAACTACACTAAAAATAGTTTTGGTTTTTTATAAAATCTCAAAAAATAAACGAGTTTTTTTTATTAGACCCTTAAAATCACTTTTGTAAAAGGATTAAACAAACGAGCCCTACATTTATATCATTTGCATCTTCATATTTCAGGGAGTTCTTAGAATCGAAATTGGTCCTCGTGATGTGTCTAGTGGTAGTGTGGTGATATCCATGAGAGATATCCCTGGGAAGCAAGGGAAAGTGTTTGGAATCTCTATGGACCCTTCAAATTTGGAGGCTTATGTTAAAGACAAGTTGAATGTGATACAGTCGATCTTCTCTTTTGGAAAGGGCAATGCATTTCGGGACAGGTTCATTCCTCTTTTACTGCTGCATCTTGTGACTCCTTAACATTACTGTCTTAACATGTATTGAATTTTATAAATAGCTGCTTCCATTTATTTGATACCTTTAAAAGATTTCTAGGCTACCGTAGAAAATTTTTTAACTAATAATATTTAAACATATATTTAAATAATAAATAATTATATTTATTATACTTGAATAAATTGAAAAACTTATAAGTCTTATAATAAGACGCAATAAAAATTAAATAATAAAAATTTAAAAATAAAATAATATTATTATATTAATATATTATATAATTTTTTTATTTATAATAAATAGAAATTATTTAAATAAAAATTATATTTTATTCAAAACTAAAAACTTATAAAAAATAAAATAAAAAATTTAATATATAATAATAATAATAATAAGATCACGTAGTAAATATTATAATTTTAAATAAATTATATAAAATAATATATATTTTTGGGTATAGTATACATAAAAAAAAATTAGAATATCATAACACACACCTGATTAATATTAGTCACATTAATCATCTCCTTCCTGATTTGAAGAATGTTAATGGTAGCATAACATTGTGCTCTTCAAAACAATCTTGTACTTTGCTTGCTAATTTCCATTGAGAAAATTCTGTGCATGGATTTTGGCTTCAATAACAAATAATATGGTTTGAGTCTGGTTATGGTTCTAGCCTAAGTTCAGATCTTAATGATTATCCTCCACCATTAGATGCAGAGTAACCTTACATAGTGGGATAAGGCTTAGTTATTCTTGTTGTGTTGTATTAAAGGAGAGGTAGCTTTGGAAACTGAATTTATTGACTTGCATGTAAATAGATATTTGTCCCTTGTATCGATCTGAGTGTGGTTCTGCACCTGATTTTTAAGTAATTTTAGAAGGGAATGTCATTCTTGAATGATATATTCAGTATACTTACTGTACCTACCAAAAATTAAGAACTTCCTCTAATGCTTTGGTGCTGGCAAATTATTTTAAAATTGAATGGTTCCTGTGTTCATTAGGGTTTTATTAAAATGTTCCAACAAATGGTTTCCATGTTATATTAGACTTGGAGACCAATTTAATCAAACACAAAAGCTTATTGCTTTTGAAATCATGGAAAATTTTCATTTTTCATTTTACCCGATCATATAATGCACATCTGATTGTACATTTGATCTTGGTTTCTCTGGGAAACAGGCAAATTAACATGCACAACATTTCTCTTACAGTAATATTGTAGATGTGAGCACATACGATGATCTTAAAGTTGCAATATCACTAGGCAAATGGGCCAGGGGCCCTTGGTCTACAAGGTTTATTTTATTTTTTTTCCTATTTTGTTTTTTATTATGTTTCGATGCTGAAAACATAACTTTCAAGGTGAATAGATGAGGACCATGATTCACAACTCTAATACCAGTCTTTACTCAATGTCACAGTCATGAAGATGAGTTAAAAGTAAAAGAGCAAACTGGAGCAACTATTAGGTGTTTTCCTTTTGAACAGCCGCCAAGGATTAAAAGATGCTTGATGACTGGAGATCCTGCTGAAGAAGTGGCTATTTTTGCCAAATCTTACTAACACTGCTAGCTTGTTTATTCTTTGAAATCCCAAATAATATGACCTGCAAGCGGGTACTTGTACTTAATTTTTGTTTAAATTTTTACTCGCTTTTTTGAAAAGTCAATTTCTTGTTATAACTTAGGCAAGTCAGTTAAGAAAACCACATAATATATTGATTCAGTCCTTCAATTTGTTGTCTGTTGTCTTTGTTTAGAAAGATAATTGAGTTGATACTGTGCTGGGTAGAATTTGAAGGATTTATATTGCTTTTGTAGCTCGGTGATATCTCTGTAATTTATGGATGCTTTCTTAAATTTTATGTTATTTAATAGTGATTTGCTGCCTTCGTGAAAGAGTATCATCTGATTATGTTCTGTCCTGTAAAAATTAAGCTTAAATGATATGATTCCTTGACTTTTTTGTTTTCAATATCTGTATTTTGAGTTGGTTTGTTAAAGGATATCCACTGAGTTGCAAATGAATAAGGGCAAGTCAGATTTTTGTGCATTCTCATCCTTGTGGCACTTGCACAGGTAGTTATGATCAAGGCAATTTAGTCTGTGTCCCATTTGAAAAAAAAGAAGCTAATTTTTAATTTTTACTATCAACTTTGAAAATTTTGAAAATGAAACCAAGTCCTTTTGGATGATGTTGCAAAATTAATGTTTAAAATTTTATTTTATTATATAAAGTTTTAGAATCAATAAGGCAGCTATCGAAACCAGCTGCTGATAATGACATTAAAAATTGTAGTGCAAGAAAAGTTGTCTTTGAGAAAGTTTTTTTAATTCACCACTTTTAAGTGGGTTGATAAAACTAATTGAAGTGTAACATTATATTATTTCTTAAAGAAGGAAAAAAAATTAATTATTGGACATGATATTATAATTTAAGCATCTTTTGGAAAAAGAGAATAAGTTATCCTTAATGTATTATTGATTGAGTCAGAGGATATGGCGTTTACATGGGTGATTCTAAGATCCTCCCATTCGTTGCAAAAAGTAGAAGAATTGCAAAAGTAAAGCTGTTGAATAAGTAAATTTTAAAAGAATTAAGACCGTTGATTAGATTGTGTGTTAAATTGATGGCTAGGATTGAAACCACAAAAGTAAAAAAACTAGATGAGTAACCTGAACTTGTTGTTATTCACGAAGGGTAAAAAAGTAAATATACGAATGAGTATACAAGTTATTTGTTTCCCTTCCAAGTATGACAGTGTTAACATTGATTATGGTATCCCAGAAAGCTAACCACTGACGTTATTCATATTGTCATTTTTATTATCTACCGTTGAAGAAGATAAAATGTCATTTGAAGAAGACGAAAATTGAAGAAAGAATGGTACAAATAATGTTAATAAAGTCGTAGTCTGTATGTTTGTATGGCACCATAACCTCCTACGTCATTTTCATTCCGATAGTGATCATAAATGATTACAATGAAATAACACGAGACAAATGATACAACGTACGAAATAATGATACAAGAGCTGAATATAATTCATGTAGTTGCTTCACCTTTAAGGTTGCCCATCTTCGACATATAATTGTTTATTGTTTAATAATAGTATTAGTAATATAAAATTATATGGCAAATATTGTATGTTACAAAGCGGTCCTTTGACAACCTGATGGGGATAAACATTTACATCGGTTGTGTCTTCAGTGATGTTAATATGCAAGCATTATTTTAAATTACAAGGGGAATTGATCTGCATCAGTTTGTTAGCTGTCAATTGATGTCCAAATAGACACGATGAGTCATATAATAATAGAGTCAAATAAATTATGATCCTTATGAGATTGAGACTATGTATAAGAACTAAATAACATATTCAAAAGTGTAATATTTTTTTTGTTATTCAAAAATTTTATCTTTTAAAAAAAATTCAATCAAACTTATTTTATTAATTGAAACATATCACTAATTATATATTATTGGAGTAAAGGTCACAAATTACCACACAACTACAAAATTTTAAATAATGTTAAAAATTGGATATAATATGTGTAATGATTTACAAGTATATTATATTAAAATCTGTTTTTCATATCGAGGACCGAAAAACAAGTTTGTGTAGTCGCTTCACTTACAACGATGACCCTCCTTTGTGATGAACATTTACATCGGTTGGGTTCTCTAGCTGATGTTAATACACAGATGTCATTTAAAATTAGAAGCAATCTTTATCTGCATCAGTTGGTTAACTGTCAACCGATGTCCCAATACACGCGATAAGTGATGAAACAATAGATTAAAAAAAACACATTGGCTCTTTTTGTGCACCAATGTGGAAGTAAAAAGTGAATTAATGCTATTAAGATTTCACATTTCCTCTTTTCATGCATCGATATGGAACTGAATCGTCATATTAATGCAAAGCAAATTTCACATTGCCTCCTTTTGTGCATCTATGTGGTATTGAGTTCTCGTATTAATGCAGTGAAATTTTTACATTGCCTCCTTTCTTCGACCGATGTGGTAGTTAGTCTTCATATTAATGCAATTAAATTTTCACATTGTCTTATTTTGTGAATCCACGTGAAAATGAATCCTCAAATTCATGCATTTGTTTATGAAAGATGTCAATGTACACATACCCTTCTTGCTTTGTAGACCACTAATGACTGGGAGTTTACAGAGGAACGGTCAACTCTGGCAAAACTTTCATATACAACACTTCGAGATAACCAAATTTGTATACAGAAATCATAATCAAAATCATAACGTATTGTAATGTTTGTGAAGACAATAATTTTGCAAATTTAAAATTTTCACTTTATTATGGTGCATAACTGCATAGTAGCCAATGAAGTATACAGATACAAAACAACAAAAGATAGAATTCAACACAACACGAATAACGAACGTCTTCATTAAATTACCAAATTCTCCTTTTATAATATAACCTATATGAATGGTTACCTCTCTTCCATTTTGGACCATTAGATTTTCATCAATGGTTCATAATGATAAAACGCTTATCAAAAAGACATATATCCTTTACTTTTTGCAACGAATGGGAGGACCTTAGAATCACTCCGTTTACATTCCTCAGATGGAGCACTGGAAGTTGCAAAAATTCATGAACAATTTTGTAAGATGATAACTTCTGTGTAAGCACCATGTCTTCCACTTGGATTTACACATTTTAGTATCTGAACTTTGGTAACAATCATTTCTACAGGAGTTTGAGAACCATCACCTCCAAAACCTATACCACGAATTGTTGCAATTGCAATTCCAAAAATTGCTTTTGGCCTTGGCCATCCCTAAGGCTGTGACGCTAAAAGTGGAAGTTTCAAATCAAACTTAAACAACTTTCCCAATCCAAGAAGTAAGAACCATAACAAGATGGATTGTTACTTGAACGAGTGCAAACATGAGAAATACTCGTGACAGTCTTTATTCTACTATCTCCAGTCACCACAAAAAAATACCTGGGAGATACATCTTATGTTAATTATGATGTGTCCCATGATGTTGATGTTTTTATATATACCGATTATTAAGTGTAACAGCAGCATCTTTTAAAATCATTTCAGAAAGCGTATATTTGACTTATAGAAACTGCTTCAAATAATATAATGTGACAAGGAAGAAAGGGAAGAAAACTCCGGTACAAAGATTAATCAAAGAAATCAAGCATATTTCTTTAGAACAATTATAGGCCACTATAGGGATTCGATATTTTAAATATTCAAAAACTGTGCTACAAGCATATTTCATGATAGGTGCAGACTTCATTTCATGCCATGCTGGAAGTGAATAATACAAATATATATTACTAAGTTAATAAAAATGGGTCATGAACCTGAACTAGAAAATGGGAAAAAAGAAAGAAAGAACATAAAGAGTTAGATATCTCCTTCAAATGTTTACTTCTTCACAAAATGTTTCTCCTTTCTACAACTGAACCATTGCTCAATTCCCAAATGCTAATCAAAACTGAAGCTTCCTCTTCCCTTAAACCTTCCTATTTATATATCTAACTAACTGTTAACTGTCCCTAGCTCCTTTCCTTATGTCCCAACAAAACCTTATGACTAAATATCCAATCTAACAGCAAAAATGGGGAGGGCAAGAACCTCAGCTTTGTAAACATAGAGAACCTCATAGCTTTATAGACATCTATTATTCTTAAGAGTATACATGTTGCATATTATTAAGAGTTAGGCACTAGTCCCTAGGATCCGGAATGTTAAATATTGCTAGTTTCTTGTAAAATTGTAACGTTTGGCACTATTATTAAGAGTATGCAGGCAATTACTTGGATGTTTTGCTTCTCTGAATTATGAAGACTCTATTTGGCGGAATACGGTATGCTTAGATGTCAGTAGCTGATGTTGTCTTCTAAAGAAAGATGACTTATGTGGACAACAAAATGGGAAATGCAAACTTTAGGATACATATATGCTGATAGCTGAAACAACTTCATAGCCCTTTAATCCAAAAAAGAGCTATGCAGCCCCAACATATATCTGATTTCACTTTGTATCTGTTGTGATTTATTTTGAAATGAACCCTTAAGAATATAGACAAAGACATTTCCAAAAGCCTTAACTATGTTAAAAATAAAGAATTCTACGCATGATAACTCATTATCGTTAAATCCACATCTCCAACTATATATAAAAACAATGTGAAGTAAAAGAAACCTCAAGGACATCAAATTTATTCAAAAAATTATAAAAAGACCAAAATCAGACATTAGCTATAGAAAAAGAGTAGAAGTGTAATTAGTCGCTTACAATTAGGATATTTTTATCAATTATAAAATATAATTTATTTTAATTTCACATGGATTTATTTTTTTAAAATATAAAATAAAAGTTTCTTCATGTCACCTTTTTACATAATGATAAAAATAAAAAAGCAAATAATATGTTTAAAAATCATTAATGAAAGTATATTACTTGAAAATGAAAGCATAATAAAAAAGTACACTTTTCACTCTAGTATATGAAATGTCCAATGTCATTAAAACTAATCTTCTAAATTTAAAATTATAAACGTTAGTTTCTAAAATTAAAAAATATCAATCAATTTAATCTTTGTTGTCAAATCATCATAATTAAATATTAGAGTGATATTAAGTGACACGTTGAAATTTACGTTGGACACAAAATTTTGTTTTAAAATATTTTTAAAATAGTTTATTTTTATTCTTAAATTTTGAAATTTTTAAACTTTAATATCTTTTCTTCCTCCTCCCGTCTAATTTGTCTTCTTCTTTAGAAATATTATAATAT